TCTGTACACGCAGATGAGCGTCCAATTTTTTCTCAAGAAAGAGATCCAGATGTCATTGTCAACTCTTAACTGAAAATGTAGTATGATTTGGAACAATTCAGAAATGCCATGTTACCCTGTTTTCATGACGCTTCAGCATTTAAAATAGTTTCATCAATGTACTTGAAAGACATAATGAACTTAGAGAAAAGCAAATATGTTTTTATTCAAGATTGAATAAAAACCCTCATGTAACTCTTCAGCCTAGTGATCCAGGGAGACTGTTCATTTGCATCATTCTTATTCCCAAATAATGCCCCACCCCCCTCAATAGTTAATGTGTATGGAGCACAGAAGATGTGCCAGGCATGGAAGAGCCTGAGCACAAGGAGATGCAGGGAGACTTGGTTAAGTGGTGGAGCTGGAGTCAACACAATTGGTCTCCAGAGGGTACTCTTAGAGCTCTCCTGAGTTAGACACCCTGAGCCATGCTCCTCTCCTCTCCCTCTGGGTATCATTCCAAGCCCTTAACCCTCTTGATTTAAGATGTCTTCATAGCAGCACTGTCAAATAGAAATATTCTGAGTCAGAAGTATAATTTAAAAATTGCTAGTAGCCATATTAAAAAGGCAAAATGCAATAGGCAAAATTAATTTTAATAATGTGTTTTGTGTAACCCAATATATAAAAAATACTATAATGTTATATAATCATATAAAATTACTAATGAAATATCAGAAGCAACTCAGGATATGAGCAGTACAATACAGTGCAATACAATATCATTTGTAGTCTTACCAAACAATATAAACTTGTGGCTAATGGCAAAATATTTTATGCTAGTTCAGTTTTACATTTTTAATTAAAATTAATTAAAATAAAATAAATTAGTTCCTGGGTTGTGCTAGCCATATTTCAAATCCTCAACAGCTATTTGTGGTGCGTGACTATCATATTGAACAGTGCAACTCTACAGCAGAACTTATTTTATTCTCTGTTGGCATGCTCCTCTCTTGAGCACACCTGAGCTTTTCTCCACCCCTTCCTTTCCCAGGGCCCTTCTCTGGCTTCTGTAACTTGTTTCCTGAGCCCATGCAGCCCAGCTGGCTCACATCTTCCTTCCTCTGTGACTTTCTAAATAAACTTTCTCTTATAATTTGAAAAAAAAAGAAGAAGTTATTCTCTGTTTCCAAAAGGTCAGGGACTCCCAGGTACTCCATCACCCTTTCTAAATAAACTTTCTCTTATAATTTGAAAAAAAAGAAGTTATTCTCTGTTTCCAAAAGTTCAGGGACTCCCAGATACTCCATCACTACTCCTAACTTCTCTCAACCCCCATCTCATCTTCCCTGCCTATGCCCAGGGCTGCCATGTACAATTGTGCTAGTTATACACTGCAAAACTCTGCAATGTCATTCACATGGTCGATATAGTAGATTTGTTTATTTACTATGACAGTTTCTTGGAAGATGGAAGTAAAGTTTTTAAAGGAAGAGGTACTTTTTCCTAATTCATGCACAGGTGGTTTTTTGGGGGTGGGATGGAGTCGGGTGCGGGGTGACTGTAGCCCCTCTGTTCCTTCCCAGCATTCCAGCAGTTGGGCCCAGGCATTGTTCTCTTGTACACTCAGCACTGTCCCAGTGCCCGTATCCTGTGGTTGAAAGTAATGAAGCAGCTTTGGTCAACCTCTCCTCTCCCCGCCAAATAATGTCGCAAAGCTATAGTCACTCTTCATGGTAGTTTACCTTGGAGCCATATGTCTTTTTTTTTTTTTTAAAGCTTTTATTTTTTATTTAAAAAAAACATTTTAAATATGTTTTTATTGATTTTTGAAGAGAGAAGAAGGGAGAGGGACAGAGAGAGAGAAATGGAGCCATATGTCTGATTCATAATTGTATCCCTAGTTCCTGGCACACAATAGGTGCTGAACACATTTATTGATTTGAATTTGTATCTCAGTGTTCACTCAGGCCCTTGTATTGTGCCCTCAGTTTCCCTTAGTGAAACCTGACCCAGGGCTGATTTATCCAGATGCCGACATGGCTGTCTTTCACCCAGCCACAGCTCGCCCTTCGTGTGGTGCCCTTGTTCTAAATAAAAATAATTGCCATTATTGTTATTATTACTAACAATAACTACCATTTATTGATCACTTTGTGCCAAGCATTACGCCTAGCAATCTATGTACATCATTTCATTTAATCTTTCCAGGCATCTCTAGGAGGTAGGTGCTATTATCCCCATTTTATACGGAGGAAACTGAGGCACTGAGAAATTAAGTCATTTACCCGAGGTCACACAGCTATTAAGTGTCAAAGCTAAAATTTAAAACCAGTTCTGTCTGACTTCAAAGCCCTTCTGTTCTTTAACTAGCAGGACAAGGCTTCTCTTTTGGTATCTGGAACCTGACTGACAAGTGACCACTCTAGAGGACTTACTGTTTTCCCAGACTCCTTCTTTGGGGAACGTCTTCATCCCAGTTCGCGTGGTTTGGGTGGGGTGTACTCTGACCCCAGGCGTGGTCCTTTAACTCAGCTTTGGCCAATCTGAGGAGCGCTTGCACCTGACTGAGTGATTGGTTCTGAGGTTAGCACAGGACAGAGGCTCACTCCACCAGGCTCCTTTTCTGCTCCAGTTTAGGAAAGGAGGCATGGGGATTTCTTTTGCTGCTAGAGTGAGGGACCCTGGGCGCTCCTGGTGGCCATCTTTCCCTTCGACAATGGAGGAAGCTGTATGAAGTAGGAGAGAATGACTGAGGCCGGTCCGAAGTGGGAAGTAGCAGTGAGTGGTGGTGGGGGCACAGGCAGCACCATCTGAGCCCCAAGATTCAGATGCCGGAAGCATTCCAGGACTTCTCTGTTATGTGAGCCAACAATTTCCTCTTGTCTGCTTCAGCCTAGTTACTTGCAGTTGAAAGAGCCTGCCTCATACACATATTTTTCAGATGACTTTTTCTGTCGCGGATTCCACATTGCCATTCTCTACCTACTTTTGGGCGAGCCCACTTCCTGGGCCTCGGTGCTGCTGTTGCCTGCAGTGTGCCTGGAGGCCTGGGATCCCTGTGAACTGTTCCTGTTGGACTCACTTCCTCTCTTTTAGGTCTGCGAACCCTGCCCTAGTGAAAGGAGATACCACACCTAACCCTTCCTCAGGACTCCCTCCACCCTTACCACCATGGCACAGCTCACACACAAGATTAAGAATTGTGCCATGAGTGTTAGAGAAATCTGTTCTTCATAGACATTGGAAGAATTACTCATCAACCTGCTTTTGAATGCTGATCAGAAACTGTCGAACGCCTAACTCATCTGGCCTCTGACACCAGCTGGGATCTCAGCCAGCGTTGGCTAAGGTTTTGCCTCTTTTCCTTGGCTCCCATCCTTTCTGATCAGCTGTTTTCTTATGTGCCCTCAACTCCCCTATGATTCTGAACTTCCATCCTTCTGCTGGCCTCCTCCCAGATCTTTCCGGGGGCCCTCTGAGGGCATTGTTCCACTGTGAATCAACTCTCCCACACCCGCAGCCTCCTCACAGATGAGAACACTCTTTCTCTGCAGCTCTCTCTGCTGTGGCCTTCCTCTGGCTTCCTTATGCTGCCTGCAGGTCATGCAAAGCCCTTTTTCCTTTAGAGGTCAAGCGATTCATGCAAATAACCTCCTGGTCTCTCCCTTTGCCACCAACCTCTTGGACATGGTCCCTGACAGACTCACCTGGTTCCTGGTCTTCTCTCCCAACTCTGCCATCTCTGCATCCCTACGACTAACTTTATATGTCTGAGATGAGTGGTACAGTTGCCTGGGGGTAGTAGAAGGGAGTAACTAATTGCGGTAGGAGTGGAAAATAAAGGAGACTTCATAAAAGAGATCACTTGTGATCAGGACTTTAAAAAAATGAATAGGATTTTAAAGATAAAAAACAAACAAACAAAACAAAAAGAATGAATAGGATTTCAACAGGTGCTCTTTTAGGCAGAGAGAGCAACTCAAGCAACAGCATGGAGATAGGAACATGTCCGTGTATTTACTTGCTTGAGCACTTGGAAATAAGTGGTAGGAAGGGAAGAGGAATATGACAGGATTATATTTACTTAAAATTAAGGCATGATCCTAAGGGTTCAATGTGGAGAATGCAAAGGAAGAAACAGACTTTACTACAAAAGGGAGAAGAAGTACTTTGAAAACTTTTCAGAGGTGGGATGATATTGTAAATGACAAGATCAGAACTTTGCTGGGTTGATTGTCAAGGGAGAAGGGGAGTCATTAAAACAGTTTAAGAGAGTTCATAATATAGAGGTAAAATAATGCCTGTGAGGTTGAGAGGAACAGTAGTGGAAGAACTGGTGTGAGGATTTTCAGAGCAGACTGGTTGTGAGAGGGCAGGGAGCAGAGTTGAGAAACCTGACTAGACACCTGCTGCTTAGGAGATGGGAGAGATGGAGGCCCTGCCTGGTGATGGGAGATGTGAAGATGTAGGATGCTGGGAGAAAACAGCTGCATAGTAGATAGGAATCAAATTAGTTGGCCTTTTAATTACCTTATGCATAAAGATAAGAAACTGTATTTCATGATGGTAAAAAGGACTTAAATTATGTAAGCTTAAGATGTTTCTCAAACTGTTTTATAGAATACTACAACTACTGGAGATATTAAGGTTCAAGGGAAATAGAACAAGTTCTGTGATCAAATAAGGTTGGGAAACTGCATTCTGTATGATTCACAGAGTCTATTCATGTATTAAAGGCTCAGAAATGCACACAAGAAACCAGTTTGACATTGTTTAACCCAGCTGTACCTGAACATATTTATTCATTCATTCAGCAAGCATGTGGTAAGCACATATTATGATAGCATGTTTTTGGCACTGTGCTGGCCACTGGTCCCACAGGAGAGAATAAAATCAGCCAATGCCTCGGCCTTTAGGAGATTGCAGTCTGGTATAATCTGACAGGTTCTGGGAAGCACAGTTTGGGAAACCTTGAGTTAAAGTGTTTAGATATTCTTGTTTGTGCTTTGGAACAGAATGGAGTGATTGACTGCCCATCTCTCTGCCTCCATGTCTCCATGTTACCCCAGTGCCTCCACCTCTTTGAAGAATGTTTCCTGCATCCCCTGCCTTCGGCACAGACATAGCTGACGACAAGGTAACTTTTAGGCCTCAGAGGTTGGTTACTTGACCCAAAGTCACCCATCTAGTTAGGGGCAGAACCAGAGGCAGAACCCCAGCTCATTTGGTTCTAGGTCCTATGCTCATTCTATTTTTGGTGAGAAGGGACAATTTGAAATACCCTTACCAGAGTATAAAGCAAATCAAAGGCATTATTTTACCTCTAAAATTTTCAGTATGTAGCTCCAAAAGAAGAACTCTTAATACCAGTAGGTGTTATGCTAGGTTACAGAAATTGGGTTTTAGTCTAGGTGCAAGGAAACCATTGGAGGACTTAGGACATGAACTGATTTATGTTTTTTAAGTTTGTGTTGATGGATGAAATGGAGGAAGGATTATAAGAAGATAAGGAAAGAAATAGTGAGACCTTTAGGAGGATATTGCAATAGTCCTGACAAGGGATGATGGTGGCTATGTCAATTGCCCCAGTAATGCCAAGTAACAAACATCCCCATAAACTCAGTGGTGTATAGCCATAAGGATTTATTTTTGTTCATGAGTTGATGGGATGTCTGGGTAGTTCTGCTGATCTGGACCAGGCTCAGCTGATTGTGACTGGTCTTGCCCATGTGTCTCTAATCAAATGTAGGTCAGGTAGGCAGCTCTGTGATGTTGCTGGGGTCTTTGATGTATTTGGAGGGCCAGATGGCTGTTGACTGTCTAGGATGACCTCAGCTGAGATGGCTGGTACAACTCTGCTCTCCTCTGTGTTTATGTTACATCTCTCTAATAGGCTAGCCGGGTCATATACTCATGGTAATCACAAAAAAGTAAGAGAAAAAGTACAAACAAGTAGGCAGATTTTTAAGCCTTAACTTGTGTTAAGTTTGCTGCTATCCAATTGGTTCAAGAAAGTGATATGGTTTACCCACAGTGAGTGTGGAAGGGCATTGCTCAAGGGCAGGAATAAAGAGATGTGAAAAGATACAGGGAGGTATAAAAAAGCAGGGCCAGTAGTACAATCAATCTATTGTGTAATGGGAAAAGAGTGAAGTAGAGACTTGAATATTCAGGGTTATAATATTTTGGAGGTACAGTCCAAAGAATGTGTTGATGGATTAGATTTGAAGTATGAAAGAGAGGAATAAATCAAAGATAACTCTTAAAATGTTGGCTGAGCAGTGGAGAGGTGGTGAGACCATTTACTCAGATGGTAAAGAGTAGGTAAAGAACAAGTGTTAGGGCAGTATCTAGAGTTCCGTTTTAGCCATGTTATGTTTGAGAGACCTGTTGAAATTCAAATAAAGATGCTAGGTTTGCAATTGGATATATAAAGCTGAAGTTCTTGGGGACAGGGCTGAAGATGTAGATTTCAGAGTTATCAGCCTCTAGATCAGCCGTGGGCAAACTACGGCCTGCGGGCCGGATCCGGCTGTTTGAAATGAATAAAACTAAAAAAAAAAAAAGACCGTACCCTTTTATGTAATGATGTTTACTTTGAATTTATATTAGTTCACACAAACATTCCATCCATGCTTTTGTTCCGGCCCTCCGGTCCAGTTTAAGAACCCATTGTGGCCCTCGAGTCAAAAAGTTTGCCCACCTCTGCTCTAGATGGTATTTCAAACCATGGAATTGGACAAGGTCACTCCTGAGAAGAATATAGAAATGAAGAAGCAAAGCAAGCCCAGGATAGAGCCTTGGTACACACCAGTGTTTATAAGTAAAGCAGAAAAATAGAAGCCAATAAATGGGACTGAGAAGATAAGATACAGCCTCTAAGATCAGAGAAAAATCCAGGAAACTTGGTGTCACAGAGAACTTAGAAAAGTTACGCATTTCAAAGAGAGGATGGTCAGTTGTGTTAAGTAAGATAAGAACTGAGGTCAAGTAAAATAACAGAGAAATGATCAGTGGGTTTGGTAAGAAGGAGGTCCTTGTTTACCAACAAATACGGCCATAGTGGAATGCTGGAGATAGAACTCCAACTGGAGTGTTTGGAGGAAAGCACATGATGGGAAGTAGGGACAGCAATCCTAATTCCATTTTTCAAGAGCTTGTGCTGCAAAGGGAAACAGAAGTGACTTGGTATTTGGAGGTGAATGTGGGTCAAGGGAATGGTTTATGACTGGGCACGTAAGTGATGCTACTCTGCCAAAGGGGATGACACAATAGAGAGGGATCAGGTGCATCAAAGAGAGGGGGAAGCTGCAGGCTAGACATGTTTGAGATGGCAAGAGAGGATGGGATTGAGAATTTAAAATAAACCAGTCTGTATATTACTTACTTCAGAGGTATTTGCATTCTATATTTTATTTCTAATTTTGTAATGAAAGGATATATCCACCATTTGAACAGTTTCAGCCACCAGCAAGGATTAGGACATACCAGTATATTAGTATGAGTTTTGTTGTCACACTGGGCAGGTTGAGTGCCTCTGTGTTAGGCTTACTCAGCTACTATTATGGAGTAGGTACCGTTTTGGAATCCCTCTGCTCTGTAGGTGGTGCTTAGTGTTTCTTATGATGATGGTGAAACTGGTAAATTCAGTTTCTTAGATTTTGATATGGATAGCAAGTTGGGCAGGTTCTGAGCAGAGCTAAGAAGGGAATGTGAATTAATGTGCCACTTCCTTGTCCAGGTTTTATACCAGTATGACTTGATGTTTTGATCAATATAAAGCACCAATTGCACCCAGCAATGTAGGTAATTCCATTTTTGCATAGACTAGCAGACTTCAGGATGGTTGGCTAATGTAGTTCAGTAGATCCTAGACAAGGCACGCATTCTAGAATTTCAGCAGAGTGATAGAAATTTTGCTTTTTTGTGTTTTTAAAGCCAGTGAAACTTCAATTTTAAAGGGTAATGTAAAGCAAATGTATTAAATAAATGGTAATTTAAAATGTATTTTGTGTAAGTTTAAGTGAACATTTGGTGGTATTTAACTATACTTAGCAACCCTTCTGGGGTATGTGTTCTGTACGGTTGTAAGGATGGTGGTGTGAAAAAATGCACTACCCTGTCTTACAATGTCTTGACAGCCTTGGAAGATTTTTGTTCAATTGCTTTAAATCTGGTTTGCTATTTCACCCCTTTAAAATATTTGTCTATTTGTGCAATTCATACTGTGAACTGAGAACGACATTTATTGCAGAGAGAGTGTGTGTGTGTGTGTCAGTCTCCAATTGTGGTCTGTGTCACCTGTGGAATATTCAAGGCTAATTTTGATTATATTCAATTATGTCTTGTGCATGGATGTGAGAACTACCCCCCACATAAGCTTTGGTTCCACTCTGTTTTTTCCCCCCTGCCTTTTGTTTTCTGCTTTCTATTTTTTCTTTTAATTCAAAATATATATATGTGTATATATACATATATACACATATATATATATACACACACACACATATATATTTTACATGTATTTTTGTTAAATTTATTGAAAATAAGTTTTATGAAAACTCACCATTTGAACCATTTTCAAGAGTACAATCCGGTAGTTTTTAGTATATTTACAGTGTTGTGCAGTCATCACCATTATCTGATTCCAGAAGATTTCTGTCATTCCAAAAAGAAACCCCATTATCCCTGATTCTCCTTTCATTCCATCCAAACATTGAACTGAAAATGTGAAAAGATGGGTGAGGGGAGAAGAGGAAACATTTAAGTGAAGGAAGAGGTTGACAGGGATTAGAGACGAATGAAATGAGAAAGGAATGGTCAAGAATGACATAGAAACTTTTTAGTTTGATATAGTTCCACTGATTTATTTTTGCCTTTACTTCCCTTGCCTTTGGGGTCAAATTCATAAAATCTTCTCTAAGATAAAGGTTCATAAGTTTAGTACCTACGTTTTCTTTAATGTAATTTATTGTTGCAGGTCTTATATTTGGATCTTTGATCGATTTTTAATTAATTTTTGTACATGGGGACAAATTGTAGTCTAGTTTCATTCTTTTGCATGTGGCTTTTCAATTTTCCCAGCACCAGTTATTGAAGAGGCTTTCTTTTCTCCATTGTGTGTTTTTGGCTCCTTTGTCAAAAATTATTTGCCCATATACATGTGGTTTTATTTCTGGACCCTCAATTTTGTTCCATTGGTCTGTGTGTTCCATTTTCTGCCAATACCATGCTGTTTTCATTATTGTTTCTTAGTAGTATAATTTGAAGTCAGGTAGTGTGGTATCTCTGACTTTGTTCTTTATTTTTGAGGATTGCTTTGGTTCTTCGGGGTCTTTTGTGGTTCCGTACAAATCTGATGATTTTTTGTTCTATTTCTTTAAAGAATGTTATTGGGATTTTGATGGGGATTGCATTAAATCTGTATTACTTGTTAGAATGGCTGTTATCAACAAGAGAAGTAATTAGTGTTGGAGAGGTTGTAGAGAAAAAGGAACCCTCATTCACTGCTGGTGGGAATGTAAACTGGTATAGCCATTATGGAAAACAGTATGGAGGGTCCCCCCAAAATTGATAGTGTTATCATATGATCTAGTAACCCTCCTTCTGGTTATCTACCTGAAAAATTTGAAAACATTTATTTGCAAAGATATATGTACCCTATGTTCATTGCAGCATTATTCATGGTGGCCAAGACATGGAAACAACCCAAGTGTCCTTGGATAGATGATTGGGTAAAGAAGATGTGGTACATATATGCTATGGAATACTGCTCAGCCCTAGGAAAAGATGAAATACTTTACATTTGCGACAACATGGATGGACTTTGAGAATATCATCCTAAGCAAAATAAGTCAGACAGAAAAAGTTAAGAACTATGATTTCACTCATATGTGGGGTATAAAACTGAAAGTCATAGACACACAACAGTATGGTGGTTATCACAGGGGGAGTAAGCCTATATAATAAAGAGGTAATATGCAAATTGACCGTCATGCCCTCGTATAAAGATGGTTGCCCCCATGTGGCCACAAGATGGCCGGCAGGGGAGGGCAGTTAGGGGCGACCAGGCCGGCAGGGGAGGGCAGTTGTGGGTGGTCAGGCCTGCAGGGGAGGGCAGTTGGGGGCGACCAGATC